AGTGACCATCTCAAAAGGTGGTGTTAGTATGATGGTTCAGGCCTTCCATCCCAACATTCAGGCAGGAGGATCACTGCAAGTCTGAAACATCCTGGAACACAAGTGCATTCCAGGCCAGCTTGGGCTACAATTTATTTTTGGGACTGTTTTCTGCACAGGTGAAAGATGCAGGGGTTTGGAGTGAGGTAAAAAGGCCTTACATCCAATCCAATTCCAATTTTTAACCTATGAAACCATTAAGATAGCCAGCCACCTTTCACCCGAGCTTTGTTCCACAGGGTCTCATGAAGCATCCTAACTGGCCAACCTTAAAAGAAACTGGAATGCCTCTTTTTTTTTTCTCATGAAAAAGTAGAGGAATGAAATCTATTGCTTCATTGTCTACAAATTGAAATTTTCTTCTTCCCATTCTAGGAATCGCCTCCTTGTGCGGATAATTACCGTCTCTCAGAAGCTGCTTTCCTCCAGAATAAAGAATCTGGGCCTGGATTATCTCAGAAGAGGAGAGCTCCTGCAGAGAACATCATCAAACGGCCTCGAGTGCGCTAGTGCACCAGGAGAAAAATGTCAGTGACAACCTGAACACTGTTGTGATGGCTTTGTATAGTTTACAGACATTCATCTGAAGGACTCTGCTTCAGAGGGCAATGGTCCTGGGAACCTGATGCTTTTAACACCTGGGTTTGAATCACCGAATATTGACTGTTCTAATAAAAGGGACTTCACTAGCTTCTCAGGCCACATTGTGTGAATAATTGTTTTTCTTGTAAACATCTGTAAGGCTATCATAGTAGTTTTAACAAGGAGATAAACTAGTTCATAAAACAACAAATGTTAAATTAATTGGGGTTATTTCATGTTTCCCCCACTTCCTTTTATATATATATATATACTTGCCATTTTACCTTTTTTAACAGCCTAAGCATGGGGTTTAATAATGAAGCTGGGGCTTTAAACTTAAATGTGTATATATGTAAATGTATATGTATAAACTTCCATGTTTGCCAAATGTGGGCACCAAAACTTAGAAAATAAACAATAGCCACTCACACTGGTATTATTTGTTTGTTTAGCTCTGATGAAGCAATAAGAGATTGCCAAACTTATTTTTAAAACCTGAATTGCTAATTACATTGATTTTGTTAGGATTAAGGGGAAAAAAAAAAAAAAAAAAACGGCTAAAGAGATGGCTTACTGGTTCAGATTACTGTCTGCTCTTTCAGAGGACCCAGGTTCAATTCCCAGCACCCACATGACAGCTCACAGTAATCATCAGCTTCAGTTCCAGGGGAGTGACATCCTTGGCATGAAAGCACATAAAATAAATGTTTTGAGATAAGAGCTTAACTATGCAGCCCTGCCTGACCCACTTCTGCCTGCTGAGACTCACACCCAACCAATGTTCTTTTTTTTCTTAATCCTAGCAATATATTTATTTTAAAATAATATGCTGGGCATTGTGGCTTACACCTGAAATAATGGCATTCCAGTGAGGTAGGCGGGTCACTGAGTTTGAGTCCAGCCTAGGCTGCAGATCAGCCTGAGCTGAAGTAAGACTGCTCAATACAGCAAAAGCTAGAGATGTCAGAGGTTAAGAGTGTGTGTCTCTTCTAGAGAACATAAGTTTGGTTCCCAGCACCCTGATCAGGTGCCTTACAACTGCCTGTGGCTTCAACTTGCGAAGTCTCTATCTGATGCCTCTGGGCTCCTTAGGAACCAGACCTCGTGCCAGACACACACACAACTCAATCTTCCAGAAGGTGACAAAATATCTGCTTCAAAATAACACATTGAGCTAGCTCAGGTTACACAAATAAACCTGAGGAGACAGTGTCCTCTTTTGGCTTCCATGGGGTCCTGGCAGCACCCAGACAAACATGTAGGCAAGACAACCATATACATTAATAATAAATGAAAAACAATTTTGAAAAATAAGTGGGAAGCCAGGGAAATGGCCCAAGCTCAGCGGATAAAGGTGATCACCATGCAAGCCTTGACAATCAAGTCTGATTCTCCAGAGTCCACACAATAGAATTAACTTTCCCCAAGTTGTCCTCTGACATCACATATGACACCATTGCAAATATTATTTAAAAAAAATCTTAAAAACAAGGTGGAGAGTGCTATAAGACACCTGATCAGCAGTCAGTCTCTGACTTCCATATGCTCACACATACATACACCACAGACTGTGTATGTAAGGTGGGGAGAGGGGGCAGATCTGGATGTACTTTAGTTGGTAGGGTGCTTACAGACAGGACAACTAGGTTCAGTCCATACCACTGCATAAAACCAGGTATGGTGGCTCAGGCCTGTAATCCCAGGACTTGGAAGGAGAAATAGATCAGAACTAAGGGTTCTTGGCTACACCAAGTTTCAGGCCAGCCTGGGCTATATGAGATCTTGTCTTAAAACTACAATAAAAGGTGAGAAAGCATCCCATCTAATAAGGTACCAGCACCTAGACTATATAAAGAATTCAGCAATTGCCCAATTTAAACACTAACCAAGGAATCTGGGTACCTTTCTTTTAAAAAATTCAAGGGTGCCGGGTGTTGGTGGCGCATGCCTTTAATCCCACTCAGGAGGCAGAGGCAGGTGGATCTTTGTGAGTTCGAGGCCAGCCTGGTCTCCAGAGCCAGTGCCAGGATAGGCTCCAAAGCTACACAGAGAAACCCTGTCTTGAAAAAGCAAAAAAACAAAAAAAAAAAAACCAAAAAAAAAAAAAAACCAAGGGCAATGCAGGAGATGCCAAAGCCACTTAATTCTGCCCAAGAGGGTTAGAATCATATTCCAAAACAATCAATGGGGGTGAAGCAGAATCCTCACTACTGGCAGGAATAGACACAGCCACTTAAAAAGGGGTCCATAGTTGAGGCCATCATGTTAACTGGGAGATTTTATCTTTAGGTATACACCCCGAAAAGCCAAGAGCATACTAACACTAAAACTTGTACATGACAATTCACAGCAACACTGAAGCAGAGTGGGAGCAAGCCACATGCCCAGAGGAAATACATGTTATACCCACTGACTTGCTCAGCAAGAGATGATAAATAGTACAGAATAGATGGGCCTCAAAAGCATGTTAGTGAAATGCCAATCACAGCAGACCACCTACTAACCACCCTAGTTCATGTGAATGCTCAGAGAAAAAGCCCCGACTGCCTAAGGGAGTGAGTGATCAGTAAACCAGGCAGGAGAGTAACAATTTGTAGGTAAGGCATTTATTTCTCTACGGTATTGAAATGCTTAGCAATGAAGGGCTGTGGTAGGCACATGCCTTTGAGAAAACCAGGAACTTTTTTCAACTGGGAAGTTGTCTTTTTCTATACCCATGGCTTGCAACATGCTACGTACATTACATTGGCCACAAAGTAGTACCTTCCTGCCCCTGTAAGTCAAAGAGCTGAGGTTACAGATATGAGCACTGAGCACTATAGTCAGGTATTATATACAGGATCAGTAAGGATCTCAAGCCCAGCTACAGAGCAAGCTTGAGGGTAGGTTGTACTCATGAGATCCTGTCTCTAAAAAGCCAATGGAAGAAAAGGTCCGATAAATGCTTACAATCCTAGCTACTTAGAAGGCTAAGGCAGGAAAGATCTCAAGTTCCCATCTTAGCTAAAGGACTTAGCATGTAGCCTGATGGTAGAGTGCTTCACCTGGAATGTTTGGAACTTTAAGGTGATACTCTATTTAAATAAATTAAAAAAGCCTCAGAACTGGATATACATTAGTGGTTAAGAGCATCTGATGCTCTTGCCGAGGACCAGATTTCCATTCCCAGCACCTGCAAAGAAAGGTTCATGCTTCCAACTCCAGCTCCAGGGTATCTAATGCCTTTTGGTCTCATAAACAAGTGGCATACAGGCACACATGAATCATTTCTTTAAAAATCCGCAACCAAGTACAAAGAGTAAATAGTATAGATCCCATTGCTAAAAATGACTTAAAATATACAACTGACTTAGAAATTTAAAAGACTATAATATAAACCAATATAAACTACTGATGCCTTGAACGATACGTAAGGGGGCTGGAGATTAAGAGCACTGACTGCTCTTCCAGAGGTCCTGAGTTCAATTTCCAGCAACCACATGGTGGCTCATAACCATGTTATGAAATCTGGTGTGAGCCGGGCGTATGCCTTTAATCCCAGCACTCAGAAGGCAGAGGCAGGCGGATCTCTGTGAGTTCAAGCCCAGCCTGGTCTACAAGAGCTAGTTCCAAGGACAGCCTCTAAAGCCACAGAGAAAGCCTGTCTCAAACCTCCCCCCCAAAAAAGAGAGAGATCTGGTGTGCAGATATACATGGAAGCAGAGTGTTGTATACATAATAAAAATCTTAAGAAAAAAAAAAAGATATGTAAGGCTGGAGAAATGGAGCATCGAGATCAAGCACTGGATGTTCTGGACCCAAGTTTAATCCCCAAAACCCACATGGTAGCTATCAACCATCTAGGAACTCCAACAATTTCTTTGGCCTCCTCCAGTACCACAGAAACATACACACAAAAAAACAAACAAAAAACTTTAAAGCTTATGCATAAGGAGCTCAGAGATAGCTCAGAAGTTAAATGGTTGTCAACACAAGCAGGATCTGATTTCAATCCCCAGTAGATTCCTGGGGCTGGCAGGACAACCTGCCTCTAGGAGACCATGACTGAGGAATATACCCAATGTTGATTTCAGCCTCTGGCCCACACATGCCATGTTTTGCCCCAACTCAATAAATAGGCTTTGACATGAAAACTTTGTTTACAGGATAAAAGGCTTTAGAACCCTTCCTTGACAAAAATTCTACTGAAGCCTCCAGCGGATGGTTCAACGTTTTCCCAGTGTTTCAGACTTGTAGCCATTCTCACCTCCCCTTTTTAGCTTCTTCAGAACTCAGCAAACAAGCGTACTCTCAATAGAGAACGGGGCATCATGCCCAGAAATGGACGTGGCACTGCTCTCCATGAAGGTCAAGGGGTACCAGCAGAAAGGACGACATTCTACCATTCATAGATTTACTTTTTATTCAATGTTAATGTTACAGAGTTCTTACACTGCCGAACCATGCCTGAGAACCCAAAGAAAGAAATGGTGCAATGGACAGCCTCATCCACCCAGACAGTGTATTAAAACTTGATTCATGTGCATTTTGATAATTTCACAATCTTAAAAAATTAGAACAAGACTTGGAATTTACATCTGCTGCAGGTCTTCAGTGTTCCAGTACAGTATGCCGTTAAACAAACCTCTTCACATCTGTCTTCGTTCACTTCTTAAACCCTAACCCCAAACAGAATTCGGAGGTGAGGGGTAAAAGCATACGTTAAGGGAAGTATGTGGCTCAAGGTGTGAGATTATTTGTTAAGGTTTTTGGTGCCCAAATAAGTCTTCAGTTTAACCAAGAATCTCAAACTCCTAATCATCCAACCTCCCCTGGATGGATCAGATCATGCCAACTTTATTGCCCAGAATGGCATGCAGTCTGGTCAGGAAAACACTGCCCTACACCTCCCTGGCTTCCTACACTGCTGCACTCATTCACCGAACGTTAAGACATACTCTCAAACTGGGAGAGCTTGCCTCATTACCTGTTTCACTCCTGTATGTAGCTAGCAAATCTGAACTGCATTTGGCAAAGGGGTTTATTACACAGAAATCCAGATACTGCCATCATGTAGTAGGTTGCAAATATAGTTTATACTGAACCATTTCTAGTAGGTTAATTGGCAGACTATTTCATTAGGCAGAAAGGAACAAACATAGCAATAATCTCTTTAAGGGCCAAGTACTACTGCAAAGTTAAGTTGTAATTACTAAGAAGAGACGTGCTACATCATTGGCTAGTCTCCTGCCTTTCCAAGTGAACATCACAAACATACTCCCAAGGTAGACAACAAAACTGGCTGGAACAAGGAATTATCTACAGAATAGCCAGTATCTTTAAATTTGGGGCACACACAAGGATTTATCAGACACCATGCAAGATTCATCAAACAACTTCAAGGTGTTGGTGAGGTTTTGCTCCTGTTGCTTCGCATTGTTAAGACAGGTCAGTGAACCTCTCCCCACCTGAGCAGACACCACTCCATCCACAGCAGTTCCGTTTACACCTGATTAGAGGAGGCTTGAGCAGCACCTGGAGTGAAGACTGGCATCTGCTGCCCTTTTTATCAAAGGCGATCTATCTGGTTCCACCTACGGATTGGCAAATTCACAGGGCATTTCACAATTCCAATGCCTTATTCAGGCTATTTCACCACACAATATGCTGTCAAAGAACTTACTCCAAGTCAAAGCAAGGCCTTAATGTGGAACAGAACAAGCACTATCTTTATAAAAAGGTATTCAAAGAAACAAGACTATCCCCCACCCATTCCCCATTTGGTGGATCCAAGTTTGGTTGAATTGAATCTACAGTCACCTCATACTAACACTAAAAACTTAAATTATAAATCATAGCCCCACATAGATGATCCAAACACATCAGTTCTGACAGCGGCTTGTTCCAGGAAGTCTAATATAGCCACAGCTTACAGAGTATTCCTTAGGGTGGGGCACAGGACAGGTTAATTAAGGTCACTTAACTCTTCATCTTTTACAGCAGATCAGAACCCAGATGGCTGACTTCTGAAGGCTTTGACAGGAATCCAGTCGAGTTGGTTTCAAGGTTCACGCCGACACTAATAGCTGTAATCTTATGCAGAAGTTGTGATCCACATGAAATCCACAATTAAGTGCAGCAAATCTGAGGTAGTCAACCTTGCGAAGGCTCAGTATCTGAACATAAAGATGTTTGAAATGACCACTGGCTGCAGGTTTGGTTTTATATGCAGAGCAACTATGGAAACACTGCTGAATCTAATTCACAAGTATTTAAGACAATGAAAACACCCCTAAATCCAACACATATAGAGATCAGTTGTGACTCTTGAACTTCCATAGTGCAACAGGGACAGTTACTGGACTCGAAGTCTTCCTCTCATCAGTCAGCACTGTTGATCCAGGAATCAAGACGCTGAATGGCTGTTCTTGGTGGTTAGCTGTGGTCTAATTATCTTGGAAGGCTTAGCAAAGACCATTGTTTAACTGTACTGTGTGTGGCTGTACTTCTGATTTTCAAGCACAGCATACTGGTTGTCTAGCTGAAGTTTAAGGGCCTGGTTTTTTGAAACCTCCTCCCTACCTCTATTTTTGTGTCTTACTACTTCAAAGCTCTTCTCCATTTCTTTATCCCTAAGGGAAAAGAAATGTAATCAGTAAATATTTCTTCTTCACTGGGGAATTTTGAAAGTATTCTTCTTTGAATTAAAAAAAAAAAAGACCCCTAAGAATAATCCTGGCCAGGTAGGAATACAAAATCCTTATCAAACCATTTAAGGCTTCAATTGAACAGAAAACATGTAATACTGTACTGAAGCTCTGAGGTCCCATCTTCTCAACAGAATGTTTTGGGACCAACTTGAAGACAACCAGAAAGAAGCTGTATAATGACAATCCTCCTAAGACTCACTTCTAAGTTTTAGCAGTTAGTAGATAATACATCTTTATGCATAAGGGTAACAATTTTCTCATTCAAGTAATGTTCTCATCATTCAACGATTTCTCCTCCCTTTTGCTTTGGGGGAGTGGTCTGATTAGATCAGGTAAAGAAAGATGTGTGTGGCAAGTCACTGCCCTCCCAGAGTCCCCCACACATCTGAGGACAGCGTAGAGAAGCAAGTCCGATTGGAGGTCTAAATTCAAGCCAGCTGTGCTCTCAATGAGGCGAAAAGGCTGGGATTTACTTTAAAGCCACCCAATAAATTTTTCCATCTGATGCCATTTACATTTCTTCCCATTTTATTTACTTTTGAAAATTCATGTCCCTAAATAAGATGTAGATGTGCCATATGTGGTCATTTAACTTCAGGCAGCATTCATTTTAAGTACCTGCTGAAATAAGATTATTTTTAGTATTAGATTGTAAATGTCAACATCTTTCATCTACTCCCATTTATTGGGAATGCAATGATAATAACTTTTACATTTTTAGTTTCTGTCTTTAAAAGGAATATAAGCCAGTACTATGTACTTTTAAGAACTACCCAAATGTAGCTGTGATAGAAATAAAGCAGAGAGCAAAGCATCCTTTTCGTTGCCCTTTCCAAGAGCTCTTCCCCACCTCTTCCTTCCCTCCTCTCCTGAGTACTCCAGGTTCCCAGATGCCTGTCCTCCAAGAGCCTAACTCATAACTTCACATACTTACTTTCGGCTCTCTACGTGCTTGGCAGTGGACTGCAGGGATGGGAACTGTGTGTCACTGTATATTTCTGGTGGTCCTTGTGGCGTTTTCCTTGTTGTGGTTAGCCTGGCCCCAGGAGGCCTATATACACCACTAGGCATTGCTGGCTCCGGAGTTTCTGTAACTAATAGACAAACCATTCATTCAAACATTTGACCTTCTAGTAACATTTTCCTGCACTCCTAGTCACCTAACAATTATGAGAAAAGCAACCTCTATTTAGAAGGAATTCAGACTAGACAACAAAGCAAAGTTCTGTGAGAAAATGTCTCAAACTAGAAAGCTGCTCATCTCTAAAGCAGTAAGTGCTCTAACTTCTCTGGGAATAATATTAACATGCCATGTATGCACATTCTGAGTGTGGTTACAGACTTGAGGGAGGGAATCATCTGGCTCGGGAAATGAGACAAGTCCTTAGGAAGTTACCTTTTGGAATGCAACACTACAGTCCCCAGTGTTTCTATCAGTAATGTGACATTCACTTTTCTTTACTTGGAAGGTAGTCTAAACAAGTTACCTTATATAAATAATTTATTTAATAAAATGCATATGTAGTATTTCAAATTCTAAAGATGATAAAAAATAGGCAATCCTTATCTTTATTTCATTCTCTAAGATTACTGAATATTCAGTTTCTCTATTAATTAGAAAACAGGAAAAGGCCTAATAGCTTAAAATCTTTTTACTAAGACTTAATTTAGGGGTCACAATCTTCAAGGTTTTTCCTATATTCCCCAACTGATCCTCTGTATGGTTCTAAGCAGTGTTGTTTTCCACTTTTCAAAAGCTTTCTGAAGTCTGGAAGCCTACATCATGAAGACACAACATCCACCCAATCATATACTAGCTAAAAATACAATGTTCTTATAGCTTAAAACTTTTTTTCTTTTCAAAAAGATTTACTTATTATGCATACAGCTTTCTGCCTGCATGTGTACTTGCAGGCCAAAAGAGGGCACAAGATCTTATTATAGGTGGTTATGAATCACCATATGGTTACTGGGAATTGAACTCAGGACCTCTGGAAGAGCAGTTAACTGCTGAGTCAGCTCTCCAGTCCCTAAAAGACAGCTTTCTACAAGCTTAGATTATACAAGAGGGAAAAGTTACATACTTATTTAATGAATATGAGTATCTAAACCACACTTGGGATACAAACAATAAACAAAAATTGCTGGGAGTGGTGGAACATGCTCCAAACATCAGTACCTGGGAGGCTGAGAGAAGGATCATGAATTCAAAGCCCACTAGAGCAACTCAGACTTATCTTTAAAGAAATCAAATATCTTTGATCCTTATATTCCAACATTAGCCATACATATGTGGCTTTAAAAAAATCATTTGTGTCTTTGTGTGGTGTGACTTGTGGACACACATACCAAAGTATTTCTTCAGCCCCTAAATAGCTGCATATTTAAAAAGGGCTTAGGGAGGGGTTCTTCAGTGATTATGTAGACTTAAAAAGGCCTGGAGGCCAGCAAGATGGCTTGGCAGGTAAAGACACTGTATAAACCTGGCAGCAAGATCCAGCTCCACAAACTCACCATACAAACAATAAAATTCGGAAAAAAAGAAAGCAAACACATAAAACTAAATGTTAGCATAAATGTTAGCAAACAAGCTATAACTGAAATGTGGCGACACCCATCACAGTTATATCCATTTTAACTTCCATGTCAAGTAGCACAAGAGACCACCCAAGGTCCTCTCATGCCAAGTTATTTCCCATCTGTCCTTTCACCAAAAATGCTTCAGGCAGCTAACACAAAGAGGAAAGATACCAGCCTCAAAGCATAAGAACAAAGATTCTACAGAAGCCGTGTGTGATACATTCCAGGAGTACCCTGAAAGATTATCAAGTTCGAGAGAAAAAAAAAACCAAGCAGCACCAACATGGCAATTCACACTAGTCACTTCGGCAATCAAGAGGCTAGAGATGGTTCAAGTTGTAAAACACTTTGCCATATAAGCATTGAGAACTTAAACTCACAATTTACCAGAATACATCTAATAAATAAATAAATAAATAAATAAACAAACATGGCAGTATGTGTCTATCCCAAGTGAAGCTTAGATACTCAGTAAATAGCCTGTAAGCTTTCTTTCTGGTATAATCTAAGCCCGTAGAGAGTATCAAGCCTGGCGACAGCATGTGCCTGTAACCAGATCAGGCTTGGGGGGGTGGGTGGGTGGGTGATGCCAGAGCACCAAGACCCCCAGAGAGAGCTGGTCAGCTAGTATAGCTATTCAGTGAGTTCTAGACTCAGTGAGAACTTGTAGAGTGACAAAGGAAGACACATGAAGTCAGCCTCTGGCCCCAATAGTCGTACCCGTATGAAGACATAACACACAACACCCATTCGTGCACAATTTGAAGCTAGCCTGGACTGCCTAGTGAGACCCTATCTCAAAAAGCAAGAGAGATTGGTGGGTCTAGGCAGGGGGATGAGGGCATTAGCAAAACATACAATTTTAAAAATATTTTATATTAGAAAAGTTGCCAAGAAAGCTTACACCTGTGTAATCCCAGCAGCATTAAGGAAGGGGAGGTGGCATGAGGTCATCCTTGTTACACCAAGGACTCAAGGCCAGCATGAGCTACATAAAATGATGTTTCAAAATAAAATAAATAAACCCTAAGATTTCTTAGCTGGAAATGCAGCTCAGTGGTACATTTAGCATGTGCAAGGCCTCTGTTCAATTTCTAGCACACCAAAAATAAACAAAAACTTCAGTGTGCAGAAATGACTCAGCAGATGTCTGTTGAGCAAGTGTTTAAGGACCAGAGATCAGATCCATGTAAAAGCTGGGTAGGCATGGCATTCATATGTAATCCCTCCCTAGAGAGGCAGAAACAGGATCACAAAAACCAAGCTGGCTAGGTAGGCTAACTGCAACTGGTTTGAGTTCTTGGTTCCTTGAGAGAGCCTACCCTCAACAAATTAAGTGGACAATGATAATGACAAGTTTCTGCCCATCCACAATCACCTGTACAAACATGCAAACACACATGCACAACATACACATATATCCCTAAAACTTTTAGTTCCAAAGAACTTCCCTTCATAAAATTAAGACCTGCTGAGAATTCAGGCTTCAAGACCTAAGAGTAGCACCAAGGATGTAATTTAGTGGTAGAATGCTTGCTTGCTAGTAAGTGAACTACCTGGCTTCATCCCCCAGCACCAAAAGCAAAACTCTGACAGTCTACCGGACAAAAGTATGTCACTCAGTTTTTACAGTCCTTCCATTTAGGTCTTAAGCTCCTCCCAGGAATGGTACAGTTCCCACCCCAACCCCACAACAGGAACATAACACTGATTAAAAAAGCCTCTCCTTCCTTTCAGAAGGAAAACAGAAAATTACCTAATACTGGAGCAGGAGGTGCTTGTACTGGAGCTGTTTTATTCCAGGGACCTGAAGACTTTTCTACTCCACTACCACCTCCACCTTCTTCCCAGTTGTCTCCTGGATCTTCTCTCTTGTCATTATCATCATCTTCCTTTTCACTATTGGAAAAACAAACAAGTACATTTACCATCCTAAGCACCAGGATTAATGCACCACCATATGAATTATCTACAATAGGCATTTCTTTTCTGAAATATGGTCACACTATGCAGCCCTGACTGGCATAGAACCAGGTATGTAGACAAGGCTGACCTAGATCTCAGAGATCTGCCTGTCTCTGCCTAACTCTGCTAGGAATAAAGGTATGTACCACCATGCCCAGCTAAACTTTTTAGGGGTAAGGTGTGTGCATGGCTGTGTTGTCAAAGCACAGCTTCTGAGAATCAGCTCTCTTTTTCCACCATGTAGGTTCTGGACCTGCAAACCCAGGTCATTGGCTTTAATAGCAAGCATTTTTATCCAATGAATCATCTTGCTGGACCCCCAAAAGGCTATTTCTATTAAAGCAAAATGTGTCCGAGTGGTTAAGACAAATTTCTTCTGACTCATTTGGCTTAATGTTCTGTCTGGGTTTTTGTTTTGGGGAACTGGGGACTAACTTAAATTCTCTTGCATGCTACACAAGTATGTTAAACTGAGCCATACTCAGAATCCAAGACAAATTTTTTGACCTCTCTTTTAGCTTGATTTTATGAGACGGTCTCAGGTAGCCCAGGCCGGCCTTTTTCAGCTCAGTCCTGACTGATCTAGCCTCTATCTCCCAGGTGCTAAGACTAAAGGTGTAAATCACCATACCCATTTTCTATTACGATCCTTTGCCCACTAGTTAGGAGTAACCACAGCATTTAAAAGCCTATGGTGCTCACATTAAGAGAAACAGCCTCATCCTCAATTTGCACAAAAGACTATCTCTAGCCAGGCGGTGGTGATGCCTGCCTTTAATTCCAGCACTCGGGAGACAGAGACAGGCGATCTCTGTGAGTTTGGAGTCCAGCCTGGTCCACAGAGCTAGTTCCAGGACCACCAGGACTGTTACAGAGAAACCCTGTCTCAAAAAACAAAAACAAAAAGACTGTATTCTCAGGGGCTAGGGTTATGGCTTAGCCTGGCCATGATTCCCAATACTGGGGGGAAAAAATCACAGAAGTAATCACCCATTTGCAGACTAAGTATGGTGACCTCAGCACACAAGAGGCTGAAGCAGGGGGACTTCCAATGCCTTCTCCAAAAACAAAAGGTTATGAAAGGAGATGGCACTTGCCACCAAGCCTAAGGACCTTTTATTCTGAATAATCCACAAGGTGGGAGAATCAACCTCTGCCATGTCTTCAGGCATGCATGCCACAGCACGCTCACAAAACATAATTTAAAAATAAAAACAAAAACAAAGGAAAAACAGATAAAGGATATGGTCAATCCAAACTTCAGCTTTCCCTTTTAATATATAAGGTATCCGGCCATTTAAGATAATACTGAGCTTACACTAACAAATTATATTCATGCCACTTAAACCATCACCCAAAACATCTAGAGCAGATTCTTAAAATGTAATTTTAATGTTTTTTTTTTTTTTTTGGTTTTTCGAGACAGGGTTTCTCTGTGTAGCTTTGGAGCCTATCCTGGCACTCACTCTGGAGACCAGGCTGGCCTTGAACTCAAAATCTGCCTGCCTCTGCCTCCCAAGTGCTGGGATTAAAGGCATGTACCACCAACGCCCGGCTTAATGAGTAATTTTTGAGTGCCAAAACCCAGGAATTGATGGTTGAAATCCAGTTTCTGCCATCTCTGCCATTTACTGGTCAGATTTTCAAGATGGCACTAGCCTGCTGTTAGATAAAACAAAGATGGCACACCCATTATGAAAAGCAACTGAGTTACTACATATATCTAGAAAACCATCTAAGCACATAAACACTGCTAGATGTTTCAATATCCATATGAATTTTATTTTATACACAAAGTACATATATATCACCTTCATAAGAGGAAGTAAAATATCCCAGCTTTCATTTGAAAGACATGGAAACAAGATATTATCTTAAAAAGATATTATGATACCATGACATCAGTTTCTAACAGTAGCTTATTAACTGGTATGAAGTTTATAATTTACCCAGGCCAATTGTAGTATCCAAACTTCATTAATTTTTTGAAAAGGGTTTTTTGTTTGAAGTTTTTGAAGCCATATCAATTAGTCACACTATGATAATTGCTTCAGGGTTGAAATAGGTACCATCAGGAAAAAGAAAACAACAACATCTACCTTTTCTTTTAAATTTTGAGACAGGGTCAACTAAATTGCTCAGGGTAACCTCAAACTCACTCTAACTCAGGCAGTCCTGATTTTTCTCAATCTTCCTTCCTTAGGCTCCTAAGCTGGGAATTAAGGCTTGTATCACTAGGCCCAGTGGGAATAGTTTCTAAAACACTCTTCAAAGAAAATTATATATATATACATATATATATACTGCTCTTGCAGAGGATCCAAATTCAGTTCCTGGAACTCAAGACAGTTCACAACTACTTGTAACTCCAGCTTCAAGGGACCTATTGCCCTGTTCTGGCCTCCTCAGGCACCTGCACATATCCCCAACCCAGACACACGTAAGTAATTACAATAAATCTTTCAAAGAAAAGGGGGAAAACAAACAGAAATAATGTCAAGAAGCCACACCAAAAAGACAAAAGTGATACCAAAAGTAATGTTTACTTGGGTAAACTCACAAGATGAAGGGAGAACACCTAAGGACATTAATGCCAGGGAGGTATAGACATTAATCATACATTAAAATACTAGCTGGCTTTTCAACAGAAGGTTCTTTAAGATCACAAATACTATGCACTAGATTTCAAAAGACAGCTCAGAGTTAAATATTTCCTCAGCTCAAATACTTCGTATGTGGTCACTGGAATTCTTTATAAATTGCAAGCTTCTAATCAAAGGCAATTGAAGATAGTTTGTTTGTATAAAGTCAGTCAAGGATTTTGAATCTTAAAGCAACAGAACCCGATACTTACCTTTTCTATTTAAAAAACTTTTAAAGCATATCACTTTAAAAACCAGATCTAAAACTATCATAAACTGAACCCGACAAGCAGGCAGCTCTTAATCTAAAGCCTCACAACCACCTAACCCAACTTTGAAAAATGACTGTTTTCCTGAACTTTAAAAAAATAAGCTACTTCAAGCCCAAAAATGGCAGCACGGGTCTGTAATCGCAGTAGCTGAGGGGATGGAATAAGCCTTCAGAAGGCCATCCTGGGATACACAGGTAAGACCCATGTAAATGAAGTACTTAGGATCTACAATCCCATTCCTATAAAGTCCTAAAGGGAATTCATGTGCTAGGAATGTAGTTATTCTTGAGGATGAAACAGTGAATGCAAGGCTTCAGGAGGAGGGTGACTTTATGAAAGAAATGTTCAATTTCTCAACTGGGGTGTTGAGTATACAAGGTGGTTTCACTGTGAACACAAATCTGCATTTGTCTGGAAATTCTATACACTTCAATTGCAAAAATATATCAACTTGTTTACGGGAGAGAACAAGATTATTCTTAAAGAAAAAAGGGTCTGGAGAAATGGCTCAGTGGTCAAGAGCACTGGATGCTCTTCCAGAGGACCTGGGTTCAATTCCCAACAACCACATGGCAGCAGACAACTGAAACTCCAGTTCCAGGGGACCCAACACCCATAGCAAAACACGAATGAACAAAACATATCTCAAGTAGGGACATGCTCGCAGCATTTTAGAGCTGGTCTAAAGAAAAATACGTGTTCAATACTTCTATCCCCAACTGGGTAATATAATCCCACCTGTAATCACACCCTACCTTATTTGCATTGCCTGAACTCTTAGACCGCTGTAATCAACCTCTTTTTGCTCAAATTCTTTCCACTCATCTTCATCCTGTGGGAGAAATACCAACCGATTAATCAAGAGTTCTTGGTTAACAGGTTTCAGACTAGGAAAAAAGGGACCAAGGGCCATTTCGGGATTCCTCAGCTGGTAAAGGAATCTGCAAACCATCTGATAATTAAGAGATCTTGGTAAACAGGTTTCAAACTAGGGAAAAAAAAAAAAAGAGAGAGATCAAGGGCCACCAGGATTTTTGAGCCGGTAAATGCACCTGCAGACAGCTCTGAGGACCGGAATCTGATTCTCCAGGCTTACATGGTGGAAGAAGAGAATTCGCTCAGGCAAGTTGTCCTCCAACCTCTCCTGCACACATGAGGGCGCGCAAGCAAATATGAAAAATGTGATTTAGAAAAAAAAATTGCAGGAAGTAGTGACACAAATCTCTAATACCAGCACTCGGGAGACAGAGGCCGGAGGTTCTTTGTGAATTCCAGGCCAGCCAAGGTTACACAGTGAGAGCCTGACTCAAAAATTAAAATGGGTCTAGTGGCTGAATCGTAAAGCACAGCCTGGGTCCTAGCAAGATCCCGACACGTGCCTACCTACCAAACGCCCTCTCCTCCGCCGCTTTTTACTTAACACCAACTACAGGGAAAGCTGAGCGGAGAAGAATCAAGAGAAACCCCACAACTCCATTTCTAGCTCCATGTGGCCGCGGCTGGAAGAGCAAGCCACGCTACACCGGCTGCACCGATGAGACTTAAAACAACTATAAGAAAAAAAAAAAAAAAAAACCGAAATCCAGCTCCAACTAGGC